CCCTTGAAATGTTCTATTCAGCTCTTTGACTTCGTCACCTCGTCCATTTGTCTTAGCTACTCCACAATCAAGAGCATGTTTCAGAGTCTCTTCTGACACATCCACTTTGATCCTTTCTTTCTTTCCTGGTTTTTTCACGACCTTTTGCTTTTTTCATGCATGATGTTCTTGATGTGATCCCACAGCTCATCATGTCTTTTGTCATAAATGTTAAATACAGCAAATCTGTTCTTGAGATAGTCTCAGAATTCAGAGGGGTTATACTCAGGGTCCAATTTTGGCTCTTGTAGATTTGCTTTAATTTTCTTCGGCTTCAACATGAACTTACATAGGAGCAGCTGAAAGCTGGACAATGAATAAGGAATATTGCAAAAGAACTGATGCATTTGACTTATGGTGCTGGTGAAGAATATTGAAAGTACCATGATTTGCCAAAAGAACAGAAGTTCCTTAGAGGCAAGGCTGGTGAGACTTGTCTCGTGTACTTTGACAGGTTGTCAGGAGATAGCAGTCCCTGGAGAAAGACATCATACTTGGTAAAGCAGAGGGTCAGCAAAAAAGAGGAAGACCTTTAATAAGATGGGTTAACACAGTGGCATCAGTTGGGCTCAAACAGAAGAGCCAATGTGAGGATGGTGCAGGACTGGGCCATGTTGTACTCTGTTGTCCGCAGGGTCGCTGTGCGTTGGAATCGACTCCCCAGCACCTGACAACAGCCAGCTGTGCACACTGTGCTTCTCGGCCGGGTTTAATAAGTCACGCAATGACCATACAGAACCCACAAAGGATACTCGAGTTATGGGGTTCATTAGGGAGTTATTAGGTTAGAATACAGTCGCTACTCTACAATTAAGAGCAAATTTCAGACATCCACTTTGAACTTTTCTCTCTTTGTCTTTTCAATGACCTTTTTCTTTCTTCATGAGTGATATCTTGATGTCGTCCCGCAGCTCATCAGATCTGCTGTCATTAGTGTTCAGACAAAACAGTCTCTGTTGTGCCCACGGGTGGGCCTTTTTCTGGCCCTCAGTCTTTTGGCCTGGCCTTTGCCTTGCTCAAGCAATGTTACAAAGATTTTAGGGTGTCAATACATTCCAAAAGGGCATGCCACTTTACATCGGCCTCAGCTCTAGCTCTATGGGTCAGCAAACCCAGCTCCCCTGATTAAGTGCCTGGAGGTATCCTATTCCACAAGTTAGCCCCGTGCCCCAAAGCACTGAGCTTTACTTGCTCTGTGGGCTGAGAAGTCCATTGCTCTAGCTCCTACCATTCCTCTGTTGCTCCTCTGGTACACAGCTACCTCCTAGCTCAAGGTTCAACATGCCGGAATCTTGGGATCCTAAGGATGCACTCCACTCCTAGCTTTTCTCTCTTGTTAGTAGTGAGAGCCCCCTTTTTAGTGCTGAGCTAATTCATCTTATACCCAGAAGGATGGCCCTCACCATTAACCCTGCCAACAATGACTCACGACTGAATCCTGTCAGTTCTTTCCCCACCTTTTCTTACCGAGACCCATCAGGTAAAGGTTGTTTGGTAAGAGTAACACAGCCTATTGCTAGAACCATATTAAATAATTTGCTCCACTGCAATAGTCTTGTTATAAAACATGTCAAAAAGAATTCTAAATCAATTCTCTATCTCTTGGAGGTAAAGACTCTCATGGTGCCTTGAGTCCTGACATAAAATGCTGATCATTTTAAATAATTTTTGATTTCTTGACTCTCTTGACAACAATATTAAGGCATTCTAAGGACTCCTTGGGGAACAGGGTCTCATTATGCCTAAAGGAGGAATGTGTAATCTGATGTGGGACAAGCCCTTGGAACACATCCTATACTCTTGCTCTGATGACAATCGCCATGTAAAAGTACAATCAGTAATATTGGCATCAAATAAGGGCAGCTTTGATCTGTTGCTCAAGAGGGACATTAGTGCTTGACTTTAAAACTCTGGTTTTCTTTTTCATTTCAAAGTTTGACTTCTGCTACTATTCTCTGGTGTCAAACATCATACGTTTCACTGGTCGATCATCAGGAAACATAATAAGTTTGTAGATCTTATAGTAGAACTCTCATGGCACCTATGATTCTTTGGTGATCCTTTTTCCGTGGTAGAATCTGGGACACTGTCTTTTGACAACTGATGAATACTGTCTATGTAGGAGGTAGATTCTCACAAATTAGCAATCGGTTCCTCGATACGACACCAAGTAGACCAAAGTAGATAAGTGGGATCTTGTTCAAAACGTAAAACTTCTTTACATCAAAGGGCTTTGTCAACAAACTGAAATGGAATCAGACAGATCTGAAGAAATGTGGGGGGGAACCATGTGTCAGATTCTGATAGCCACACTATATCAAGAACTGTCACAACTTAATAACACAAAGACAAGGAACCCAACAGAGAAATGGATAAAGGATCTGCAAAAGCATTTCACTGAAGAAATATAAAAATGGCCCACAAAAAAAGATACTCATTTCCATTAGTTATGCTTTGTTCGGCGCTGTCAAGTCAGCGCCAGTGTATAGCAACCCTGCGTACAATAGACTCAAATGCTGCTTCGTCCCGTGCCGCCATCAGAATCGTTATGTGTGAGCCATTGCTGCAGCCACTGTGTCCATCCATTTCCTGGAAGGTCTTCCTCTTTCTTTCTTTCTTTTTTTTTTTTTTGCCAACCCTCTAATTTACCAAGCATGTGTCCTTTTTCAATTACTGTTTTTCCCTAATCACGTGTCCAAAGTAGGTGAGATGAAGTCTTCCCCTTCTTGATTCTAAGTAGTATGCTGGTTGGACTTCCTTTAAGACAGATCTTTGTTCTTCTGGAAATCCATGGTCCTGTCAAAATTCTTCACCAGCACCATGAGTCAGTTCTTCTACAATGTCCCTTGTTCGCGGTCCAGCTTTCACATGCAGACGATGGACACAATTGAAGATGCCCTGGCTTGGGTCAGGTGCCCCTCAATCCTCACAGTGATGTTTTTGCTTCTGAACACTGTAAGGTCTTTTGCAGCAGATTTGTCTAATGCAACACGTCATTAGATTTCTTGACTGCTTCTTCCATGGGCTTACTTGTAAACCCATGTTTCAAGTAAAATGAAATTCTCAGTAATTTCTATCTTTTTTCCATTTATCAGGATGTTGTCTCTTGCTCCACTGGTAAAGAATTTTGTTTTCCTTAAATTTAATTGTAATCCATATGGAAGCTACAATCTTTGATCTATATCATTAACCGTTAGGGAGATGCAAATTAAAACCACAGTGAGATACCACTTCACCCTCACCAAGGAAGAAAGAGGTAGCAATCTTCTGTCTTAAAGATTATAGCATTGAAAACCCTATGAAGCCGTTCTGCTTTGTTCTATAGGATCTCTGTGAGTTGGGATCAACTCAAGGACAATAGGAGCCCTAGTAGCATAATGTGTTACTTGTTGAGCTGCTAGCCACAAGGTCAGCAGTTTGAATCCACCAGCTGCTCTGAAGGAGAAAGGTCAGGCTTTCTGCTCCTGTAGAGATTTACAGTCTTGGAAACCCACAAGGGCAGTGCTACTCTGTCCTACAGCGTTGCTGTCAGTCAGAATTGACTTGATGATAAGGAGCTTGATTTTACTTTTTGGCAAAGAGCCCTAGATGTACTGTCAGATAAGGGTTGGACCACTAATTGAAAGGATGGTAGTTCAAAACCACCAGGTCTCTACAAGAGAAAGTTGAGTCTATCGCTCTTCTAAAGATTTACAGGCTCAAAAACCCTATTCTCAACCTGTGGATCGTGACCCCTTTGGGGGTCAAATGACCTTTTTACAGGGGTCACCCTAGTCATAACAGTAGCAAAATGACAGTTATGAAGTAGTAATGAAAATCATTTTATGAGGAAGTGTATTAAAGGGTATCGGCATTAGGAAGGTTGAGAACCACTGCCCTACGGGGTCACTGTGAGTTGGAAAATTGACTCCGTGATAATGAATTTTCAGTGAGTAAGATTTCAAAACATAAAAGCAGAAAATAACAAAAGTTGTTGATGACGTGGAGAAATAGGAACCCTTATTCCTTATCTCATGAAGCAGTTCTGCTTTGTTCTGTTGGGAATGCAAAACGGTACAGCTGCTATGGAAAACGATTTGGTGCGTCCTCAAAAAGTTGAACATAAAGCTATCACATAACCCAGAAATTCTACTCTTCGGTATATATCCAGGAGACTTAAAAGGCAGCGATGCAAACATTGTAGCACTATTCACAATAGACGCCCAGGGAACAGAAAACCCGAATGGGGTCTACACGAACAATGGAATATTACTCTGCCATAAGGAGAAATTCAGTCCTGATGCATGCCACAGCACGCACGAACCTTAACAGCACTATGGTGAGAGAAACAAGACGATCACAAAAGGACAAATGGTACAGGATCTCGCTAACGTGAAATTCCTACAATAGGCAAATGTAGAGAGATCAGCGTTTAATAGTGACTATCAAGGGTGGAGAAGGAGGGGGAAAGGGCAAATCGTTGTTTAGGAAGCAGTGCATTTCTGTTCATGGTGGTGGAATGTTTGGTAAGAGATATTAGTGATGGTTGTATATTATGATTGATGTAATTAGTCTCACGGAATTGAACACACAAGAAGGATTGCCATAGATTGTGTTATCTATATTTTTATAGTAACAACCAAAAGATAATCCAATTGCTGTGTGACTAGTTATTTTATTTCAAAAGAAAAGCCCATTTTGATTCTCTTTCTTTGCAGGGCGTTGCCAACGTCTTCAGCGCTGCCTATCATTATGTGCACAGCCGGGAGCACATCCTGCATGTTATCATCACCGGCACTGGCTGGCTCTATGGCATCATGCCCAACATCAACACCATCACGACGTACCTTGTTGAGCTTGGCCCACAACAGGTAGACAAAGCTAGACAGTGTCACACCTCTCTGGGGTAACCATTTGGAGATGTGAGCGTCTTGCAAATATTGTAAAGACCACATTCAGCTAACTGTTGAGCTATCTAAGGACAGCTTTCCTGTGGCCTCAGCTCAAAACCCTCTGTTGTGAGTGGTATGGTCTGTGCCACATTTTCTCATCGGGCCAAATGAAGAAAGAGCAGGTCTTAAGGGGGCTTCCACGGTGACCAGATCCAGGGATTAGCTGCCATCTGGGCTCTCTGGTGCTGCTTCTCTCATTGGTCCTCATCTTTGCTTCTCTCTGCACATGGACTTTGTTTTCTCCAGCTAACGATGGGCTTTCTCTACAGGCCAAGCCAGATGCTTTTTATATTAGTTTCCTAGTCATAACAAAGTCCCGCAAACCAGATGGCTTAAAACAACAGGGATGTATTCTCCAAAATCTGGAAGCTAAGGAGCCCTAATTCAGGCAGGGCTATGCTTTCTTGGGAGGGTCCTAGGGAAGTTTCTTTCTGGTTTCTTCCAACTTCTAGTATCCCCCCCAGGATTCCTTGAGTTGTGGCTCATACCCCCAGTCTCTGCATCTGGAGTCACAGGCCATCCAGCCTCTGTGTGTCTCTCAGGTGCTACTGTGTCCCTTGTTTTCTTCTCGCAAGGACACAAGTCATCTTGCATTAGATGATCTCCACCAATCTTAAGAAGTGCCTGGTCAGGCTCTTCAGGGAGATGATGTTGCCATGGAGATAAAATTATGGTTCACAGCAGTCTACAAGACGAGTTGTTTTGGCAAAAGAGTCGTTTTAGAACTGTGACTCTGAGGACAAGGCCACCTCTGGCCCTTGGAAAACGAAGGAGGTGAAGAAGATATTCCCCCAGAGAAGGAGAGGGAAGAAGAGAACCTACCAGCAACCATCGCCTGCGTGGAGTCGACTATCTGTCAAAGACCCTAGACAGAGGTTTATCCTAAGTGGGAGACACTGCAGTGATGTCTTAGTATTAGAACTAAGGTCTCTTCTATGCCTAGCAGGTCTCTCCCTACTTCTTCCCCTTCCGCAGTCCATCCAGATCCTCTCTGTATTCTTCTCTTAGCTCCTCTGTGCCTCAAAAGGTTGACTGCATTGATGGGCTCCTGGGCCTTCTATCTTGTGTTTGGGTTTGTCCAATGAGAGTGCACCAACAAGCAATTGCAGGGCAGATGGAGAGTGAGGTTGGGATAGTAATGCTTCAGGCCCACTTCCTGCCTACTTGCTATGGGCTGGCTGTTCTCCTCTCCTAAAAGTCACCGTTCCCATCAGACGGCCCTCTCCATACAGCTGTCCTGTCCATGTCTGCTAATTGTTTCCTCCTCCTCTTCCTTTTCGGGGTAAGGATGATAACAGGTTCCCAAGTTATTAGCTATGGGATTCCAAACACTGCCCACACTTCATAAACTTCCCTTATTAAATTCCCCCCAACTTACCTAGTCCCCATGTGCCATCTGTTTCTTTTGGCACCCTGATTTCAACCAATTATCAGTGATTGATTCTGAGGTGTTCCACTGCACGCCATCCCCATGTTCCTAAAAGGTACAGCATCATGGCAGAAAAGGATTCTTGTTCTGTTGATAATATACATAAAAAAATAAAATTAAAATCAACTTGCTGCCATCAAGTCAATGCTGACCTCCTGTGGGTTTCTGAGACTAACTGTTTATGAGAGTAGAAAGCCCAGTCTTCCTCCTGCAAAGCTTCTAGTGGTTTTGAACTGCTGATCCTGAGGACCAAAGCCCAACATGTAACCACTGCACCACCAGGGCTCCTTTATAATAACCATAGAGGAGGGAAAATAGGAGATTCAAATTTTCTTAAGTATGAAACTCACGCTATTTTAGTATATCACTTAAAAGCATTTTGTCTAACTCTGGTAGTTAATTGAAATACTGAGCTTTTTTATATAGGTCATTGTGGCAAACAAAATAATGTCGCCAAACTGGTCCATCCCCTAATCCCCAGCACCTATGAATATGAGTTGGAGCTCCACCACCACCACCAAAAAAAAAAAAACACCAATAAAAAGCTCCATTGGGCGGGGCTTTCGTAGTATGCATTTTCCCTGCTAGGCCAGCAGTTCTCAACCTGTGGGTCTTGACCCTTTGGGGGTCGAACAACCCTTTCACAGGGGTGGCCTAAGACCATTGGAAAATACCTATTTCTAATGGTCTTTGGAACCAAGACACTGCTCCTTTATCCATCTCCAGGTAGGTCTGCCCACATGCAGATACGCCAACATATGAGTACCGGCATGATGACATCATCACATCAACCCAACACAAACACCCCATACAAATACAGGTGTATGTGACAGGGTTGGCGCCATAATGTACTTATGCAGACCAGTCAGACATGTGCAGAGAGCTACTGTGTAGAAAGCAGCTGCTGTGTTGAAAGCAGCTACTCTGTTAAAAGCAGCTACTGTGTTGAAAGCAGTATTGGAGGTAGAATGACACTTCATGAATTACAATTACTGGGTAGATGTAAAATCATCAACTACTAAAAATATATGTACATCTGTACCATGGGAACTTAATCTGGATGCTGATGGTCTTTTTATATTCAGCTGTGGCTGATGTGAATACTGCCCCCTTGTGACTGTAACAGGTATGTAAAAAAACATAGACTGGTAAATCATAGGAAACTTTAATGAACTGTATTGACTGAACTATGCCATGTATCATTTTTTGTATTATTAAAGCTATTGTTATATATTATTTTCATTACCAAATCATTCCATGACAGTGGACAGTGTAGAGACAAATGTTAAGAAAAGAAAATATAGTGAGGATACTTCACAGTATGGTTTTACCTCAATAATTACAGCAGGAATTGAGAAACCACAATGTGTTATTTGTTATGAAGTTCTGTTAGCCGAATCTATAAAGCCAAACAAACTAAAATGCCATTTTGATAGCAAGCATCCAAGCTTTGCCGGCAAGGATACCAACTATTTGAGAAGCAAAGCTGATGGACTCAAGAAAGCCAGACTTGACACTGGTGGCAAGTACCACAAATAAAACGTAGCAGCCATTGAAGCTTCATATTTGGTGGCACTCAGAATCACCAGAGCTATGAAATCTCACACCATTGCTGAAGATTTACTGTCATCAGTGGCCAAAGACATTGTTAGAGTTATGATCAGAGATGAATTTGTTATGAAATTGAGTGCAATTTCCTTATCTAACGACACTGTCCGCAGAAGAATAGATGACATGTCTGCTGATATTCTTGATCAGGCAATCCAGAAAATTAAATCTGCTCCACTTCCAATATTTAGCATCCAGCTTGGTGAATCTCCAGATGTTGCAAACTGTTCATAGTTACTGGTTTACATGAGGTATATTAATGATGGTGACTTTAAAGATGAGTTTCTTTTTGGCAAACCTCTTGAAACGACAACTACTGCATGTGATGTATTTGACACAGTTGGTTCATTTCTGAAAGAGCAAAATATCTCTTGGGGAAAGGTTTGTGGTGTTTGCACAGATGGTGCTCCAGCTATGCTAGGATGTCAATCTGGACTTCAACATTTGGTACTGAATGAGCCACCAAAAGTCATTGGAACTCACTGCATCCTTCATCGGCAAATATTAGCATTGAAGACACTGCCACAAGAGTTACAAGAAGTAATAAAAAGCATCATAAGTTCTGTCAATTCTTTAAAGACGAGCGCTTTAAACAGTCAACTGTTTTCACAACTGTGCAATGAATTGGATGCGCTGAACAATGCTCTGCTATTTTACACTGAAGTGAGGTGGTTGTTGGGAGGAAAAACTCAAAATGTGTTTTAATCAGAAAGCAAGGCCGCAGTTCGAAGCACTTTTCAATGATAAAAGTTTATAAATTATCAAGGGTTCATGAGGGAGGGGGAATCTGAGAGGAAGGGGGAAAATGAGGAGCTGATGCCAGGGGCTTAAGTGGAGAGCAAATGTTTTGAGATTGATGAGGGTAATGAATGTACAAATGTGCTTTATTCAATTGATGTATGTATGGATTTTGATAAGAGTTGTATGAGCCCCTAATAAAATGATATAAAAAAAGGTGAACTGCAGAAAATAGCTTACTTGGTTGACATCTTTGCCATCTTGAATTAGTTAAATTTATCATTACAAGGACCAAATGCAACATGCCTTGATTTGTCTGAAAAGATCTGATCATTCCAGATGAAACTTCAGCTTTGCAAAACAAAACAAAAAATTGGATGAAAATAAAATTTAAATGTTGCCTACCTTATCTGCTTTCTTTGAGGAATGTGACATTGAACCAGACAAAAGGATTACGATGATAATTTCTGTGAAAGAACACTTGCACATACTTGCAGATGAAATTTCATCGTACTTTCCAAATCTACCTGACACTCCGTTTGCACTTGCCAGAAGCCCGTTCACAGTCAAAGTTGAAGATGTTCCTGAGACAGCACAAGAGGAGTTTATTGAACTTATTAACAGTGATGCAGCAAGAACTGATTTCTCTAGAATGCCAGTTACAAATTCTGGATCGATGTTTGCAGTCATATCCTATTCTGTCTGAGACTGTGTTGTGCCTTCTTTTACCATTTCCAACAACATATCTTTGTGAAACAGGGTTTTCCAGCTTGTTGGTGATCAAGTCTAAATACAGAAGTAGACTTGTTGTGTGGGACATGATCTTCATTGTGCTCTTGCAAAGACTGCCCCGAGAATTTCTGATCTGGTGAGAAAGAAGCTATCGGAACAGAAGCTATCTGAACCTTCGCACTGACGTTGGCTTTTTACTCAGACTGTCACAAAATGTAGCAATATAGTTTACTGCTGTTCTATTGAGACTGTTACCCATGCTACACCATGCTTCAAGACAAAATTTCATTTATTTGTCATTAGAAATAAATATTTCACAATCTATAATTACATATTGTTTTGTGATTAATCACTATGCTTTAATTATGTTCAATTAGTAACAATGAAAATACATCCTACATAGCAGATATTT